CAATTAGAGCAGCTCCATCTAGAGTAGCTCCAACTAGAGTAGCTCCAACTAGAGTAGCTCCAACTAGAGTAGCTCCAACTAGAGCAGCTCCAACTAGAACAGCTCCAACTAAAGTAGCTCAAATTAGAGCAGCTCCATCTAGAGTAGCTCCATCTAGAGCAGCTCCAACTAGAGCAGCTCCAACTAGAGTAGCTCCAACTAGAGTAGCTCCAATTAGAGCAGCTCCATCTAGAGTAGCTCCAACTAGAGTAGCTCCATCTAGAGCAGCTCCAACTAGAGCAGCAATGTTTCTGAGAGTTTACGGAGCGTTAGAAACAATTTGACAAAATACTAAATCATTTCAGAAAGATTTTGGGTTTTGTTAGAAACTGTTTTTGGACAACAGCCAAAAAACAAGTCAAACAAATAAAATGAGACCTCTGAGGGTTAATAATAAAATTAATTTATGTTTCAGTAGTTTAAAAGTTTGAGTATTTGTTTAGTTTGCTTCACATCTAATCGTTTGAGTCTCAGTTTGTCATTTTTTCCTCATTTTACGGTGAAACCAGACGTGTCCCCCCCCCCCACCACCACCTGCTTCCCCGCTGAGCTCTTTTGTCCTGTGAACCTTAAAAAGCCTCTTTTTTTCCTGCATACCTGTTAATTGGAAGGATCAGCTGGTCTCTCAACAAAATCGATCAACTTCTCCCGACAGGAGTCAGGGTAAGGAGGACCCTCTGACCTCTAAGGAACAAATTGGATTCATGATGACGACTAGATTCTACTGTTTGGTTGGTGGAATCTGGTTGTCTACAACTTCGTGTGGAGGTGTTGAAGCTTGACAGTGCTCGGACTGAATGTGGAGCTGTGACAGGGAATTGGAGCAGCTGTTATCAGGACTGTGTTCTTCCTGGCAGCACTCATGAATGGTGGAATAATCTGGAGAAGCTGTGAGCTCGACTTTGGAGTAAAGGATCAATTCAGCTGTTTTGGAGTTTCCATCAGAGAATATGTACCAGCGAGACTTTAAAGGCAGAAACAACAATTTACGAGTTCTGCCTGACCCAAACTGTGGCCTTGATGCCGGACTTATCTCAACTCCTCCTGGAATGTTCAGAAAACAACAAAGATGCTTTGTCTGTTTCCTCACACCTCTCTTCTCCAAGGCCGTGGACATGGAACAGAACCTGAACTGAGCTGAAGATGAACGTCACCTCTTATCTGGACAATGGCTGAGGGGGGGGCTCTGGACTAGGCTACGACTTTCCCTTAAAAATTCAACATCTTCACGGCCTATATGTTCATGTATAACGTCTGTTTATGTTGCTTTGCTGTGGGAGGTTTGTTTGATGCCTCAAATCCTGCCCTGTCTAGGACACGGAGTGAGAGATCTTTTTTTATACCGTCTCTCCTCATGTTTTCTTTCCTTTACTTGTCTAAGCAAAATATTATTCTGAATAAGAACAAGAGGCCGCGCTGATTATTTTAGCCGCAGCTTCGTGCACTCCGCCCATCTTCGGACGACTGTACGTACATGTTCTCCTTGTATCTCGGTGCAATGCCAATAAAGTTTATTCTGATTCTCTTCTGATTTTTTTTTATTGTTTGGCTCCTTCAGCAGTTGGTGGTTGTGACTTTATTTTTATGACTTTTAAACTTTTAATATTTAAACTTTATTTAAAAACATCTGCCATAGAAATGCCTGAAGTTCTGAAATATTCTCCTTAAAAGCTGCTTCCTGGTTGCTCCTAACCTGCAGCTGATCTTTTTGCTACTTTGAGCCTTTAGCTGGTGTTCCGTTCCTTTTAGCTCCAACAGCTCAGCTCCTTCAGCTTCAGAAAAGGTTTTAGTTTGTAACATGTGTTAGCTGATGTTTTTACCTCTTGGTCACCTCCATGGGTTTTTGGAAGCTGTAAGGTCCGTGGTGGACGTCGTCTGACAGCTTTATCCTGGTAAACAATCAAACATCAGCACGTTGGTTTTAGAGGGAAATTGTTAAAATATTTATGTTTTTTCTTCTGTTTGGACTCACTGTTTCGTTTTTCAGTGCAGGAGTCGAACCTTTGAATCTACCTGAGAGTTCGGCCACAGAGGGGCGGAGCTTGGCCTCCTCCTGCAGGAACAGGTGAGAACACACCTGGACTTAGTCTGACTCAAACAGAATGACTCACTGAGAGTTACTGAAGACTAAAAACTAAGAAAATGGCTCCACGAGACAAAACAATCATGATGACAGCAGTAATTAAGAAATGATACGATCGTTTGCTGATGATGCACTATTGTTTTCATGTTGGTGTTTTTTTTTCCTCAAGTTTATTATTTTTTATTGCTGTTAGACAATAAAATTGGCAAGATTGGGTTTTAGGATCTGTGCACAACACAGAACACCAGGAATGGTTAAAATGATTTGATATATCGCAGCTGGTGGAGGTATGGTTCTGGTGGAGGTCTGGTTCTGGGTCACATCTGTAGAGATAAGAGAGTTGGTGAACTTGACAGGACGGAAGGTTCAAAGGGCATAATATTGAGAGTCACTGACCTTCACAGTCGAGTCAGAGATGTGATCCTTGAGATGGTAGAAGAGGTTGACGTCATGGGCTGTGAACAGGAAGCAGCAGAGAGCGATAATGCAGAGTACAGTTTTAGGGATTGTCCAGGGCCGAGGTCCAGTAAGGCAGGCTTAGGTCGAGAACCGTTGGGCAGAGAGCTGAATCCAAATCTGAAGGGTGATCCAAAAGGTGTAGTCGTAATAATCAAACGGAGTTGGTACCGTGGCCAGAAGGCAGAGTCCAGAACAGGCACGGATTAGGCAAGACGAGGAAACCAGAAGACAGGGGTGGCGTCAAACCAGGAGAGACAGGCAAGGCTATGGCATGGACACTGGACATCTACTAACATAAGGTGTTCGATGATCTGACAACAGGTGAGTGAGTGAGAGGAGCTTAAATAGTGAGCTGAACAGGTGCATTGAATCAGGGCTGATTATTGTGGAGGAGCAGCGTGGGCGTGCTGAGAGGTGCAGGAGAAGAGCTGGAGCTTGAGGCAGGAAATAAAACATGAGGGCATGAACAATATTAAAACAGAAACTATGGCATGAGGGGGCAGAAACGTGACAAAAATGACCCAAAACAAACGACTTGAATCAGCGGTTGTAAAACCAAACTATCTGAACCCACAACATGAACAAATTACAAAAAACACATTTACAACAAAAAGGCAGACATGCTTAATTTGACTGAGGCACTGGACGACCTCCCACAGTCCAGATGGACGGCCCCCACTATTGGACGGAAACATCTGAGTGTAAACAAGATTATTTGACAGTTATGGGACTATATTATTTTACTGTTACCGGGGTTATAAATTGAGGACATGCCCCTCAGAGACATCTGTCCACAGACACACAGCTGCGGATGTGAAGCTGATCCTGGTCCGTTTCAGCTGAAGGGTTCTCATTGCTGACGTTCATCAGATAACAAAACCACAACCAGCTTCATGTGTTCAGACTGACGAGTGAAGGCAGAACGTGACGAAACCAAACAACCGTTTAACCACTTCCTCCTTATGTTCCTGTTCTCATGTTCTCTCATGTTCATGTTCAGCTCATGTTCAGGCTGCTGTTTAATGCACAATAATATTTTACATTATTAGTGTTTACTGTATATCTTAGATCCTTGTATACTGTTTCTTTTTATACTTTATATTTTTGCTATTTTTGGGTGTAACTGGGACCATGAGTACATAATTTAATTCCACCTCATGTAGCAAGTGATGAGAATGACGATAAAAAACTTGAACCTTCTGACTGTGTGAGGCCTAGACCAGAACCCAAATCAGGACCAGTCGTCTGTCTTAAAGGCCTCTAAACTATCAGGAGTCCCCTTTCAGATGGGTTCTCTTCCTGAGCAGCTTTACATCCATTTACAGACAAAACCCCATAAACCTGCAGGGACCACTGGCCACAAACAAACAAGAAACAGCAAAGTTGCCACAATGCTACATTAAAGTTACATTAAATTTACATTAAATGTACATTAAACTTATATTAAAGTTACATTAAATTTACAGTAAAGTTATTAAAACTAGGTTGAAGTTACATTCAAATTACATTCAACTTACATTAAATGTACATTAAACTTATATTAAAGTTACATTAAATGAACATTAAACTTATAATAAATTTACATTAGTTATATTAAAGTTAGTGTAGTTACATTCAAATTACATTAAAGTTACATTAAATGTACATT